GGGAAAAAAATGAGGAAAATGGTGAAAATACATGAATTTTTAAAGAATATTCTCAGACGGATCCGCCACTGGAACACGACTATGTGAGGAAACAAAGTGACACTCGTTCACACATTGAAGAGAGACGCTGGCTACTGAGGCCCCTACTAAGCTTACTGGCAATTTTACTGATGAGCCGACACCGACGTCCGATGAGGATCCCTCCAGTACTAGTGATCACGAATACGTCAATAACTTTTTGACATGGTCGCAGGGAAGACGAGCGGTTGAACTTGCGATGTTATCTGAATAAGGGTCCACCGTGCATCCCCCCCCCCACAAACCTCCGAACCAATATTTTTCTGAAGCTCCATGACGCCCTGATCACGAAAATAAATGTTAACATTGCGTAAATTGGGACGAACTTCCGGTTATGACGTCATCAAGATGGCCGTCATAGTGAAATTTACACAAAATGTGAAAAAATTATAAAATCATTATTTTTCGATCAAATTTAACAAATGAGGTATCAAAATGACCGCAATAGAATAACAAACAGATCTGTTAACAAAACAAACTACTATGAATAGATTCATTTCCAGCGAAAAATGAATTCATGTCGATTTTGAGGTCAAAATTTCATTTTTTCACAAAATAATTGTCATTATTTTTGGTCAAATCTTTTTCTAAATCTTATGGCAAAGCACTGCCATAAGACCATGCTGGGGTGCATGGAAAGGTTGTTATTGGAACAATACATGGCTCCCCAAGATGAGCAGGAACTGTTCTCTTCCATCCCAGCAGACTCGATGAAGAAGTTGGATGTTTTTTTACAATCGCTCACAGAAACCAAATTGGACGCAGCATTAGATGACGATGCATTCAGTAACTACATCCAGGGTTACCTGCAGTATAGAGTGGAGGTCAGTGAAGGCAGTCACGGAAAAACTGCCCTAACTTTGGGCTTCCTCCATGAGTCATATATGGCTAGTACTCTCTCTCGTACAGGCAGTGAAGCACAATGACTTCCTTGCATATGCACACTGTTTGCATCTCATGACAAACATATTTTTTGCATTCGGTGGTCAGAACTACGCCCGATATCTCACATACTTCTCCATCTTCCTGGTTAACATTGAGGTATCTCATCCCGGAGCAACTGATTTGATCAAGAGGGGAGCCATGAGTGTGGCTCGTTCCTTCATACCCGGAAAACGCTGTGCCGTCGAAAAAACTATCGAGGAAACCTTTATGAGACATGCCAAATCTCACGGTGGCGCTGGTGGGGGTGGTTTTGGTGTTTCAGGGGTTCTCAGCAACCATGTTGCATACCAAAGATGGGTGCGAACAACACACACGAGATCCCAGTATGTCAACACGACACTGAACATGGCTGACATACCGACAGCTAACAGCCAAAGTGGAACAATGCATCGTGATGTACGACCTGCAGAGATCCTGAAAAGTGAGAAATGCGTACGAAAGGCAAAGGAGGCAGTTGA